GCATATGTGAAACTAATGGTAGTGCTGGACTCTTAAACAATTTAAGCAGTAGTCACGTCACATCTAGCAGATCTGACATAGGAATTTATTTATATTTTCAGAGGTGGGGATATGTTTATAGTAAATCACTCCCATCTAGAAAAGTCAAGTTAAAATTACATTCTTTAAAGCTTGAAAGCTTTTTTTCCTGTATAGCCACCTTCCGTGCAGGTGGTATAAAGCTCAACTAAGCTATTTCATATGTACTGGAAAAGCCCACAAACTCGAGGCTACATAAAAAAAGTCACACATTTGTTTCCTATGAACTTGCCAAGATAGCAAGATTGATGACAGTAGAAATGTTCAGAGGTACAAAAACCAAGCTTGCACTTATATTTCCATCCTTGTAAACAGGCAGCAGTTTTCCATTCTATTTAAATAAGCCTCCTAACTTACTTCCTCCCTTCATCATACTGCTTGGGAAAGCTTCCCTACTTTTTATGCTTCAGGTTGCCTCTTACCTCCTTCAAGCAACCTCTTCAAGTAGTACCTTCATATCTCAGTTGCTTTTCTATATTTTCCCTTGTTTGAGGCTCTAATTTTGCCATTTGCTCTTTACAGATTTCATTAGAGTATGCCCCTCTACAAACTGCAAGGGCAAATTATATTAGCAAAGTTATAAGCAATGAACATTTTAATTTTACAAGCCCTCAGATAAAATTAGTGCCATGTCAGTGATCTTGCAGTTATTAGTAAACAAGTATTAGTACTGCCGTTGTATATAATTAGTTCTGCATGCCATGGTTGATTCTCTAATGCTACTAGTAAATCAGTTACAGGAAAAGACCATATGCAATATGACATTTACAAATGAATTTCTCCTACTTTTGGGCTCAGATATACAGTACCGAAAAATGAAAGCGCCAGTGTTCAAATCAGCCCAAACTTGCATCATCAGTGCTTTGGAGCCCAATGAAACTATATGAATGCAGCCATCTTCAACAAGTTTGTCTCCCAAGCTTAGGCTCTCAAAGCCTACAGGTTTGCTTTCTTCTAGGAAAAAGGAAAAAATGTTACGTGAAATATAATATTTAATTAAAAAGAGAGTTTGACAACACTAATGTCCATTTTACAATACACAAGGTGTGGAGAAAAGTAGCTTAGATACTGCAAGGGGCTTTTCAAGAATGAATTGACTAGTATGTACACAATGCTACATCTTTGGAAGTGTAAGTCTTTGCTGGGTGTAACTGAAACTGTTAGAAGTACAGCATTAACAAGACTAGCATATTTAGTTGCTCCACTTTTACTGAAGAAAAAAAGTTCTGGAGACAAAATTTGCCATTTGCTGAAACAGCAATATCACACCTGCCTATCTGACTTCTAATTGTCTATGGCAATTTTATTTTTTAGGCTGTGAGCCAGTAGAGCACTTAAGCACAAAAGTAGTTCCACTGAAGTCAATGAAACTACTTATATGCTTGCATTTAATCATATTAAGTGCTTTGTTAAATGGGAGCTTTGGTGTACAATGATTGTCTTAAAATGTTTTCTGCACAGAATGTTCTCTGAACAGAATCTCTCATTTGTTAAGCTTTTTCAGCAAAGCAGTAGTCCTCAATTAGGAATACAGTACGCTAAGTTTTAAAACTTGAACATTTTATGGTAGTTTCATGTGAAAACCAAAATTAGATTTTTAAGAAAACAAGAAAAAGAAGTTTTCCTCCTTCCTAGTCAGGGAGATTCTGCTCAAAACTTGCAAGTATTAAAAAGAGCTCTCATTAGCAGAAAAAGCCAAATATAGAAAGAAATTGTTCAAAATGGTGCATATTTTGAAGTTTAGGAAACATACAAAAAGAGATAACATGGCATAACCTGAAAACCCCAGCTCATGGAAGTTGCCTTTTCTTAAGATATATAGTCCCACTAAATTTGGAAATTTAAATTGTTTGAGTAAGGACTACTAACATTCATATTACAAAAGTAGGTCCAATCCTTAATAAAATGGCCCTAACAGCCCCCATTTAAAGTTTATATGTCCTTTATATTTGTCATCCAGAAGCCAATGGAAGCTCAAGAGACAAACAGAAGAAAAGGTAGAGGTGTAACCTTATAATTTAACTGCATCAGAGATGCATAAGCTTTTGAGACCCACAGCTCACTTATGAGCTTCTGCTTGACTTCAGACTAACACTGCTCAAGAGACAAAATGTGAACTTCTCTAGAAAGTCTGATGAATGTTAGAGTATTTTCATTTTCTTGATGTGGGATGAAATAGTATACTCCCTTATCATTTCAACTTACCAATTTGATGAGAATACTAAATAGAACCAAAGAATCAGTCAGTCAAAGCAAGGTCAAACCTGATATACTTCTAAGAGCAGTAATACTCTGAAAATATTCTCAGATTTTTATGCAACACAAAGATATTTCCCTTGTATACTTAACTTATTGTTAGCCATTAACATTTTTCACTATTCAAAAGTTAAAGCTGAAAATAATGTTTGCATTTAAGAAGACATCTTGCAGGTCTCCAAATACTAAGGTATCATTCACATTTGGGTGTAGCTCAAACAGAGCAGAGGTGATAGCTTTGAGCTGAATAGAAAGTTGCAGTTCATTCTATTATGGTGCATATTAAAACTAGAAATGTTAACAATGCCAGGAGGTATACAAACAAAAACTACTATGCCTTACTTGTGCTATCAAAGTTGCTGTCTCGTAAAATTAGTGGTTTGCTTCTTTTCTTTGTCTTCTTCCCTTTCTCTGTAGGACTTTCCATTTCTTGAACATGCTCCACATTAAACCACAATGAGATACTGAAGCCCTCAGACATGTGTGGCCAACAGTTTTGTCCAACCAAAGGCAAATGGATTGGGGCTACATGCCAAGAAGAAAGAAGCTGGTGAGTCAAATTCTCACCACCTGCTTCTTTCTTGCTCTGTGAAAGCTTTCCTCTTTTTAATAAACCAATGGCCTTGCTGTTCAGAATGCTAGCAGATTTTTGTGAAGAGCTGCTACTTAAATTTGGGATGTGTAGCAAAGGAAAGGTGAGATACTGTAATGGGCTCACATAGATATTAGCTTCCACAATCTTCAGTATACCCTGAAGTAGTATCTCCTAGGAAAGAGAACAGATCAAATATAACACTGCAAATCAGAAGAGACTGCTACTTTCCACCAGCTAACCTGAAAACAAACAGCTTTGCTCTACCATGGTCAAGTTATACATTCAGTTCTAGTTCGCCGTGTTGGGCACTGACTTCAGAGTTGTGGGCATTTTTGACAGCTGAAATAAAAAAAATTTAAACTAGGCACCCAAATATCACAGAGTACTTCTGGCAGGGTGGGGACTAACTGATTTGGGGAGGCATATGCTTTCATAGGTGACAGTCTACTTACTCAGATACTATGAAATACATGTCCCAAATGCAAGATGATTTGGTGCATTTAAATTCAAAACTTCAACTGAGGAAGGAGGGTCCCAATTCAAATTTGGGACAAGGAATTTCAAAATACTTCTGAAATGTGTCTTCTTGCTTACATGGCTATTATTTAAAATATTGATGGTGTAGACATTTTGCTGATAAAGTTATTCTTCTGACAAATAATAAAAAGAACAGATCTTTGAAGTCCCTTATACACACCTGTGGTAATTTTTTTTTTTACCACTATATCCATCATCATCATCATATCAAGTATTAAATACAAGATGTTTTTAAAGTGCCTCCTGGTCACAAAGCGATGAAAAGGGGATGCTTTTGCCAGTTTTAACACTCCTAAAACTTACAAGGGTATTTTAGAAACTAATGGGATGGCTGCCTGTACTGTACACCTGTGAAAGTGGAAAGCTACAGAGCTGCAGGGAACACTGATAACAGAACTGAAAGAACACACACATTGTTTTGTGCTGGACACAAATGTGATACTAGTGAGCACAAAAACAATATTGCTAAGCAGTTATCAGTGCATACCAAAAGAAGAATCGAGTTACCTCATTTGTTTTTTTGTGGGCCAAAAGGTATGCCACCTACTGAAATTCACCATAGGATTGTGGCACAATATGATGAAAACTGTGTGGCTCAATGGAAAGTCTGAGAGTGGGTGGAGAAATTAAAAAATGGTGAAGGAGGTTCTTCGTGGGCACAGATTCACCACTGATGCACAGGTACAACTCGCAGTATAGAAGTGGCTGTCATAGCAACCAAAAAAAAAGCTTCTTTAAGGACAGTATCAAGAAACTCCCTGAAATACCTGTGTGGAAGCTATGCAGAGATGATGATGTCGTCTAATGAGGGACCACACTGCACATAAAATGGTTTCATTTTAAAATGTTAGTTTATGAAACACCCTTGTAGTTCCAAAGACCCAAACCTGCATCTCAAAAGCTTAATTTTCTTTGTCCTAGAATGTATGCGCAAGACATTCTTTCCTCATTTAAAGTTTTAAATAAAAATGCTCCACTTCTTGCCTTTCCCCCAGTTCCCCACTTTCTGTAGGAACAAGGAAAACAATTAGGAAAGCAAGTAGGGTTTAGTTATATTATGGGTTACATTGAGATATGACCTCCTTCTGTTCAAAAATCCTTATTCTCTGAATACAATGAGTTTCTTTCATAGTTTCCATAGTTTCTTTCGCTCCATTTGCTGTATCAAGCAACTTTCTGAAGTTCTATTGCATACATACTGTACAGGGTGTTTTTTCCAAAAAGATCCTCAAGAGAAGGGTTAACTCTTCTGAGGATGTCCTTGAGCTCATCAAAGAATCCAGCAGATCCACCAGCACTACCTGGCATTCTGGAAAGATAAAAATGGGGAAGAATGCGTCTAAATAACAGTAGTTTTAAGTGTATGACTTATATTTTTATACATTCAGACCAGCACATTCCGTGTTCCATTGTTAGAAAGTGCCAAATCAAACCTTATGTTTTCCATGATAATGGCTCAGGTTCAATTAACTGATTTATTGACAGGATTTTTCAAATCCAAGCTTATAGGGTCTGCAGCTCTATGACAGGGCTTTCAGATGCTTTGCCACAGGGCTGCAATTCTAAAAGCCTTGGGAAACCCTGTTTTAAAAATCAGCCTTAGGCTCCCTTCTGCTGATTTAGGATATATTTACAGCCAGAGGTGTAACTGGCCACTTTGTGCCCTTGGCATGGAAGCGCATGATGCAGGAGCAGTGACTGGAGGTTCAGTTCTGCAGAGAAGTGTCACCTCTTTTTTTTCCCCACCCTCTTGTTTTATTTTGTTTGTGCAGCTAACATGTCTTGAGTAGCCATTTAAACACTTATTAATATGAGCATATATCCCATCTCTCCAGAACCCAAGTACAGTATTGGTGGGCACATCTTTCAGAGGCCCATTTGGTGCCACTCTGATGTAAAGCTAAAACAAAATAAGGAGGAAGCAGTGC